ACGCATCGCCTTTAGATCCATAGCATTTTGGTACATAGAYGCACGAATCTCYTCTYATRCGTCTCGCTGCATTCGTGGTGCAACTCTACGGGTTTTGGGGGCTCGCCGTCTCTCCCAGCGGAGGTGTTCTTCCTCTTTGGCGAGCTCCTCGGCATACTGCTCATCTTCGGAGTAATAGGTTTGTCCCGCAGTCGCCTGTCCATGTTCGTCGGGATTGTCCTCTTCAGCGTCATCTTCCAGATCGACCACCGTTGTTGGCTTGCGAGCTGGTGCCGAACCGCCTGCTGCTAGCCGATCCGCCGAGCCTCCTGCCGATGCCGAACCGCTAGCTGTTGCCTTGCCTTTGTTTATGTCTTGTCCTCCACTTCCGGGAGTRGGCTCGGCGTTTWGATRGAGCAGACGARYTCGACGAATTCTCTGCGCCTCTGAGGGCGTGGAGAAGTTAAGCGTTGTTGGGGCGACACGATCCATGACTTGGCGCGTGAATCCTGTTCCTTTTCCGTGGCCTGTTGCGGTTAGGGAGTTCATTCGGTTCTTCATCATACTGTTGAAGGTGTCTTGCTCCTTTGACTTCCGAAGGATTTCTTCGAACATGCCTTGTATCCGAGCCAGCTGAGCCAAGGTCCTAGGAGTTTTCTCCGCGATGGGCGGTGTCTGCTCTTTGGTGGATGTGTCCCTTGCAGTGTTCTTTTTTACTGTCTTGTCTCGTGCAGAGTTCTTCGCTGCGACTGCGTTTGCCGCGAGTTCCTTTGGGTCGCTGCTGCTATCGACGCGGTTGTCACCGGTGATGTCGATGCGGTTGTCACCGGTGATGTTGCTCCCGACGATGTCTCTCACGAGGTTTGCTGCTGCTTCTTTGTTGCTAGGTGTGTTGCCGCGCTGGTCAGTCATCGTGCTTAGGTTGCTTGCCGAGTGATTCCTTCGAGTAAGAAGATCTCAAGTCCCCTTAGGCGGCGCCAAACTGTAGACGGCGAATCCTATACAGTTGAATTTGTCGAGGGTCGAAAGGAGAACTGAGTCTTCTGAGTATGAATCACAAAGCAAAAGTCGATAATATGTTTTATTGCTGTTTCTGCAAAGCTCTCGTTACAAAATGAATCGATTCCCTTTTTGGGAGATGATAATGAACTATATATAGTTCTTCTAAGTAAAATGGGCCAGCTAATAAATGGGCTTGGCTCTTTAAGCAATATATATAAATTAGGCCCATTATTTCATTAAACCCATTTTGATTATGGGTTTAATGTCATTTT